ACGAAACGACGTATTCGTATTAATTTCCAAAGATCAAATAACGCGGGTCAATCTAAATGCTCGTTGAGGTTAGCAACTAAGTGGTTGCGGATTTTGCCATTAGGTGGTACTACAAAATCCGCAATCACTTAGTTGCCAAGCTAATACAATCTCTTCTTCTGTTTATCAAATTATCAAATTGCAAAATCAAATTATAGTCGACATTCAAACGATACAATTATAAATATAATATAATATCCGATTGGCAACTAAGTGATTGGGGTTAGGTTATTCAATAGGTTAGGTTAGGTTTCATAATATTCGGTTGGCAACATTATATAATATTCGGTTGGCAACTAGATGATTGCGGATTTTGTCATTGGGTGGTATTGACAAAATCCGCAACCACTTAGTTGCCAAGCTAATACAATCTCTTTTTCTGCTTAACAAATTATCAAATTGCAAAATCAAATTATAGTCGACTTTCAAACGATACAATTATAAATATAATATAATATTCGGTTGGCAACTAAGTGATTGGTGTTAGGTTATTTAATAGGTTAGGTTAGGTTATATAATATTCGGTTGGCAACTAGATGATTGCGGGTTATATAACATTCGGTTAGCAACAAAGTGATTGCGGATTTTGCCATTGGGTGGTATTGACAAAATCCACAATCACTTAGTTGCCAAACTAATACAATCTCTTTTTCTGCTTATCAAATTATCAAATTGCAAAATCAAATTATAGTCGACATTCAAACGATACAATTATAAATATAATATAATATTCGGTTGGCAACTAAGTGATTGGTGTTAGGTTATTTAATAGGTTAGGTTAGGTTATATAATATTCGGTTGGCAACTAGATGATTGCGGATTTTGTCATTGGGTGGTATTGACAAAATCCGCAACCACTTAGTTGCCAAGCTAATACAATCTCTTTTTCTGCTTATCAGATTATCAAATTGCAAAATCAAATTATAGTCGACATTCAAACGATACAATTATAAATATAATATAATATCCGATTGGCAACTAAGTGATTGGGGTTAGGTTATTCAATAGGTTAGGTTAGGTTACAGAATATTCGGTTGGCAACTGATTGCGGGTTTTGTCATTGGGTGGTATTGACAAAATCCGCAATCACTTAGTTGCCAAGCTAATACAATCTCTTTTTCTGCTTATCAGATTATCAAATTGCAAAATCAAATTATAGTCGACATTCAAACGATACAATTATAAATATAATATAATATCCGATTGGCAACTAAGTGATTGGGGTTAGGTTATTCAATAGGTTAGGTTAGGTTACAGAATATTCGGTTGGCAACTGATTGCGGGTTTTGTCATTGAGTGGTATCGACAAAATCCGCAATCACTTAGTTGCCAAGCCAATACACATGTAGGTGCAATCTTCTTTTCTGCTTATCGTTCGTTTGCGAGCAGCAAGTGCAACCTTAACATCGTCGCGATTACAATAATCGATTTAAGCGGAAAGCAAACAAGCGTGGAAGCTGTTTTTCCATCGTCGTTCGATCACGTTAGTGGAAAAATCACGTCTAATCGACGAAACGCCAGCAACGATGTGACACGGTTGCATAAAAAAGAGAAAAATATTTCAGGCAACCGATCGAAACATCGACGCTAATCGACGTCCAATCAACGTCTCGTTATCATTACGAATTACGCGTTCACGGGTGGCCGAGCCAGGAATTTGCACGTGTACAAAGCGAGAGACGATGGACGCGGCGCGGCCGACCAGGCTCATTAGGAATAAATCAATTAGCAGGCCGCCTGATTGCCGGCTCAACGATTCGACGGCTATCCAATTAACAGTTTCCTCTTGATTATCAAACAATACTCGATCTTTCGACGAAGACGAATCCCTGGCCGGTTGATTCGCACAAGCGACAGGCGCCAACGTCAGCGAACGTTCGCGAATACGATTATTCACCACGACTTTAATTAAGTGGCTGGTGGGAGTTGCGTCGACGGGTCTTTCACCTTTGCAAAACGTGCGGCGTAAGGTGGGGAAATTTCGTTCGTTCGAAACTAAATCGATTTTTTTAACCTGACAAAAATTGTTTCATTATATTTGGTAAAAAGTTTCTCTCGTTTCATAAGGAAATGGTAGACATTTTTTGTTTTATTCGTTGTTTTGTTACTACAAATAAAATAACACAAAAGAAAAAATGTTGCGCATTTAATGTTTGCTTATATGTCACTAGGTGGTATTCACAAAATCCGTAATCACTTAATTGCCAACCCAATAAAATGAAAGAAACTTTTGGGGCGATGTAAAATATTTGAAAACCTGGTAACTGAAGATTTGTGATCAATGTTTTATAAAAGTTCGTGCAATCGCGGTAGAAAATATGTGTAATTGTCGAGAAGAAGTGTTCCTCTTTTCGTCGGCTTAGCTTTAGCGAGAAAATGTTTACGTTGTTGTTGTTTTACGTGCTTGAAGGATCTTTTATTACAAAAGTACATACGTAGAGCAGATGATGAAGCTGTACAAGAAGAATCATATACGAATTTTCTGACTCGTCATATGCACGTGCACTGCTCGTAACACCATCTGACGCACGCGATGCGTCTACCCGCGTTTCTGTCCTCACGTCGTTCGAAAATTGATTGTAATACATTGACTGACGATTGATTGTATATGAAACGAGCCACGTATTGGTCTTCTTCGTTTTTACTCCATCACTTTGTTTCGAATTTCTTTCTGAATGACGCGTTTCTAATATAATTGCAAGATGTGATCGACAAGCGATAGGACGAGATGGCTACTTTGGAATATAAAAATAGAAACGGTATACTACACGTGGGCGAAAACAAAGGCTACAATTACGTGCTTTCGATATGGAAATACAATTTCGATTATAAACGCTGTTCCTTAACCAGTTAGATACCGCGATCTCTTTGAAAATTTTGAAAAGCGTGTGCCTAGGATGTGTGGCAAAAAGTAAACGATGACGAGTATACTCGTCAAGCACAGAATATATATGGCTGTTATGATATAGAATGAAGTTGTCATGATATGACTGTTTTATTTTTTAATTTCATTACTGCAATTTACTGCAATTACTAAACAGCGAATTGCAACGACCTTTTACACGTGACGAGTATACTCGTCAAGCACCACAGTGTGTGGTAAAAAGTAAGTGATGACGAGTATACTCGTCAAGTACCACAATATGTGACAAAAAGTAAGCGATGACGAGTATACTTGTCAAGCAGCACAGTATGTGTGGCAAAAAGTAAATGATGACGAGTATACTCGTCAAGTACCACAATATGTGACAAAAAGTAAGCGATGACGAGTATACTCGTCAAGTACCACAATATGTGTGGCTGTTGTAATATAGAGTTAAATTGTACTGAAAAGACTGTTTTATTTTCTTCATCATAACACAGAATATTTCTACTTCCTCATGACGAGTATACTCGTCAAAACCAGCCAACTACTTAATCTCAAGTCCATTAGTCGATCGCTCGAGTAATAATGAATAGTCTAACGCTTAGTGCCTGGTCTTTAGACTCTCGCTTGGAATTAAGGGAAGAATTCCGCCGGCTTCAGCGAGGTAACGAGTTTACTAACCCCTTGGCATGTAGGTTAAAAGGAATCGATGAGATTGCACGGCGTGCGAGCGCCGCGTATGCATCGCTCGCACTGTAGTCCGTGCAGCTATCGCTGTAGGAGCCGCGGTTAACCAGAAGTCGCAAGCCGGCCGGCGTTAACTTCGCTCGCGAATCACAGCTTCGGCTTAATTGTTTCCACGAGGAAGATCAGCTACGAAACGATCGCGGATCGATCGAGCCAGTGGAAACCAGTCGCGTTAATCGCTTCGTTGCTTCGTCGATCGCGCGATTTTAGGAGATCGCGCGATATAAAAAAGGAGTTTTGGAAGGAAAAGATTGTCGTGCGTTTAAGAATCCCTTTTGGGTTAAAGACGCGACAAAGTTACGAGGTGCAATCGAGGCTATTGCGGGAGAAGTTGAATTGGAAGAAGTTCAAGTGCAAACAAGTTTTTGGACGAACGTTTCGCCCGATTACGCGAACATTGACAACACTGCAGCCTGTTCATTACGCGGCAAACTTGTGACGTTTGAAGAGTTGTTGCTGTGGAAGGTTGATTCCTCGACAATATTTCAGATTGTGCTTCTTTGCTGAGCTATCCCGAGTTGGCTGGTCATTTTATCGTTGAAAAAGAACACGACTGAGTAGTTTGTTTCGTTAAAGTGTTCGTGCAGATTCTGCAAAACAAATGTAATCGTTGGGTCGTTACAGGATCCATTCACAAGATTCGAGTTAAAGATCGTAGTGTTAAAAAAGTATTTAAAAAGTACAAGAAATACCCAGACTCGTAGCAAAGTATGTGAAAAGTATAGAAAAAACCGTCTTCAAGCCTATTATCAATTTCAAAAGGCGAACTTCGCATGTTTTGAAAATTTAAAGTTTAAGTTTGCATTTAAAAATTGCAAACTTCACATGTTCCTTGAGTGTCTTGTACTCGGCCACATACCTAGCGATCCTAACCTAACCTAAACTTAACTTAAGCGATCCGAACCTAACCTAAACTTAACCTAAGCGATGCGAACCTAACCTAAACCTAACCTAAGCGATGCGAAGCTAACCTAAACCTAACTTAAGCGATCCGAAGCTAAACGATCTTACGCATAAGCCCAATGGCTGTGCTCTGTAACAACTAAGAAAATTAAACAAAAGCAAGGAGCAACAATTTGCCAAACGGATAGCATTCTGCTTCAAAAATCCCTTCAAGCGACAAATTTAAAAGAATTTGTCACGCTCGTGCTCACGTTCACGTCACGGAATTGATGAGCTTCGCTAAAATCTCGGAACAAACCTAAGTTTATAAGACTTGGAAATTTGTCATCGATTGACTTTTAAAGCTAAAGACGAGGCTAAAAATCGTAGAAGTCTGTCGCCATCGAGAAACATTGCCCCGCGAGATATGATAAAACTAAGGGAAAATTACGTGCGGTTGTCGCAGGCTCGCTTTCAGCAGAAGCAACTGCAGGAGAAGGAGCAGAAGTTGCTGCAGCTTTACGACCAACAACAGCAACGAGCTTATCAAGTGGTGCAACGAGGCAGCGCCGGCTCCAACAGCTCGAGTCATGCTACCTCCATCAGCCAGCACACCGTCACAAAGACCTCGAGCAGCAGCCATACAACCTCGACCTCGCAAGGTGGAAAGGTGAGCGAATCCTCGCGTGGAAACGCGCCGCGCGTTGTCGTAACGCGGTTTCACGCTACGCTTTCTTGAATGGGCTAATGGCCACTGTTTCGTGGCTGAGAATCACGACGAATCGCCTTTCAGCCTTTCGTTCCGTTCCTTCTCTTTTCTTTTTTCTTTTTTTTTTTTTCCTCCCACGAAGCACACATTCGTTCGTTAACCTGTTAACTGCGGAGTTTAGTTTCAAAATTCCCGCGCCTAGCGAAAATCAAGCGACGACGAGTATATACGTCGAACGCGGGGCGGATGCTCATACTGTAAATTTTGCGAAGAAAATAAAGCAAAAGGAGGAAGGAGTAGAGTCGGTTGCGTTTCTTTGTAAACTGCCACAGTTTTATACCAATTTGAAAAACGTATAGTTCGCGATGAACGAAAAGAATGGTATCGAAGAGTCTAAACCGAAACAGAGCCGGCGCCAGAGAGAATCTGCGCCTGAGATGCCGGTAAAGTGTGAAATAATAAAAAAAAAAGAACTTGTGAAGGTCGTTCACAGATTTCCTCGTTCTCGTTGCATTTCGGAGAAAGTCGCGACGAAAGAAACGAAAACGTTTTCATTTGTTCATCTGTTTATTTGCGTTATGGCACGTTTCCGCGTCAAATATCAGCGGAACAATGTCTGGCTGCAATTAGAGCGGTCGTTGTTAAGTGCAATGCTCGCATCGCTGCGTGAGGCCAGTATTTTGAACAGTATCTTCATTAAATAGACGATAACGCGAATAAACAAGCGTGGAAACGAGAACTGTTTTGCTCCTCTCACCACGATTTTCTCCAAGAGAAAATCCCTGCTGGACTTTTCTTCCTAACCAGTTAACTTCGTTCGACGTATATACTCGTCGTGTAAAATAAAACAGTAGCATTTGCTATAAAAATTGAAGACTTTGGTAAAAAGTAATACAAATGACATTTAGTGAGTTTGCTTTATATTTCCAATAAACCTATTGTGTATTTTATAAAAGAAGTTTGATTATTTGATTAATGTCTTTGGTGTATCGATTATGTATTGTTCCTTACGAATTAAGTTGTTTATTATTTTCCAATTGTTCGTATGCTTTAACTTATTACTTTTTACCAATTTGTAAGTTTTTAATAACAATAGCTTTCTCAACGATGAATCGTTCATTTTTCGTCGAATAAAAATGTAAAATTTATGGTAGGAGCACCCGCTCTGCGTTCGACGTATATACTCGTCGTTGCTTGACTTTAATTACGCCGCCCGTCAGGCACTTTTAAAACTAAATTCCGCAGTTCACTGCTTAATTTGTCCATCCTCTACTTTGACATTGAAGTTAAGCACACCCTGTATATAACACTGATATTCGCATATAACATACGATGTGTTGCATAAAATATTTGTGAAGAATTCGAAGCAAGGTGGATGGTTGCGTTTATTATTGAAGAAAGGTAAGAAGATTAAGGGTTTGGCGAGCCTTGACCGCAATCTTGAGAATTCGTAAGTGAGCGTTGTCGAGCGTGGAACCAGTTTGTCGGGAAGTGAAATTATGTCAACAAGTAAAGGTAAACCTTCGAGTAACATTGAACGAACTTGTTCTGAAAATTTGTTACAACTGCGAGGATCGAGAAATAGGAGAAACGATCTCTCCTTGTGATTCTTTTCTTCTTTTCTCCTCTTTTTTTTTAATTTATTGTTCATCGTCACATTTTCTGATAAGCTGTTGCTGACTACGATTACGTGTATTCTATAAACATACTAAATACTTTTATACTATTTAAATTATACTATTTGCATGCTACATTTGGCACATTTAACTTGGTTAGTGCTGTTAATTAGCAATTAATTAGTTGGCAAATTAGTACAGTTTGTACACTTCTAGAAGATGGATAAGTTTTAATAAACAATTATTCTAACTTATCCATCTTCTATCTTTTCTCTTATCCATCGTTGCTTTCAACCAGTTAGCCGTTTTTCGCGAGTATACTCGTCATGAAGAAACATTTTGTATTACCACGAGTCTGTCACTAATCAAATTCAAAAATAGAACAACCGTTTCGTTGCAGCTTAATCCCAAATTATAACACGCACTCTGTGCTTGACGAGTATACTCGTCACGGAGAAACGCCAGTACTTTGCGTTACGGCGAGTCCTGTCACTAATCAAATTCAAAAATAAGACAACCGTTTCGTTGCAGCTTAATTCCACATTATAACGCACATTCTGTGCTTGACGAGTATACTCGTCGCCACTTACTTTTTGCATTGCATTCTGTTACTTCAAAATGATTGCATACTTCTGACATATACAAACACTTACAACGCTATCTCATCCACCGTTGCTTTCAACCAGTTGGCCGTTTTTCGCGAGTATACTCGTCATGAAGGAACATTTTGTATTACCACGAGCCTGTCACTTATCAAATTCAAAGATAGGACAACCGTTTCGTCGCAGCTTAATTCCACATTATAACACACACTCTGTGCTTGACGAGTATACTCGTCGCCGCTTACTTTTTGCCACGCGGTTCATTCACATTGCTTTGCAAAGTTACCAAAGTGGTCGCAACGGCTAACTGGTTAACAAACAGCGACAAGATTAATCATAAGAATAACATCTGTTCGCGAAGGTGAGGCAGATGTTCGACGAAAGACGGCAGACGACGGTGAAGGGCATCGACAGAAGCTACCCACTGGAGCCGCTGGAGAACAAATCGCGGAAACAGACGAACGGAAACGGCGTGCAGAAGAACGGAAATTTGACGGTGAACCGACAGTCGGTGACTGTGAAACGAGTAGCCAAAGCTGACGTGAACAGCAATTTGAACGGTGGCAAACCGATCGTCTCGTATCACGAGGAAATCAGTCGAGAATCGTTCGGTCCGTGCGCGCGCCAGCACCAAGAGGATGACGAGTTTGGAAACGAGAACCACGTCGCGCAATATGCGAATGGAAACCATCGAGACGAGGTAACGCGCCATTTTCCAAACGTGGCAATTTTCCCTATTGAAATAGCATTTCTTAACATATTTGCTTCGTATGTGTGCACACATACACACACATATACACACGTGATACATACGGTACGCGTTGGATTCGAATTTTTACCATACGTATTTTTACCATACGCGAAGCAGCAAGTATCGACTTAGCTCGTGCAAAGGGTGGAAAATCTCGGACACGAGGTGCAAGTTAAAGGATGAAATTTGGAAAAATACTTTCATAGTAATTCGTAGAACTTCCCTTAGCTTCTTGTAATAAACACTAAAAAAACAAAGACGTAAGTTTCTAGGACGAGCGTTTAAAGATGTTGCATTCTTAAAACTTACAGCACAAGGATAAATACAATTTGTTTAGCTTAGGATCAGATCTATTAATTGTGATGTATAATCGAGATGAAATATTTCAGAGCCACGCTATCATTTCCACTCGACGTATTTAAATGCACGTTCTTTCGCTATCTGGCAATTTTAGTTGTGTACATATCGCAGGCAAATATTCCCTTGGGCAATTTTTACCGGGATATTTCAATTGCATTCGAGCAGACACGTATGGAGGAAGTTTTGGACGAAGATATGATAGAAAGGAATCGTATGATGGCGAAGCTTCATCTGATGGAGTACGACGAGACGTTGAAGCACCGTGTTAAAAACGACCTCGAGAGCGAGGAATTCCCCGAGGACTTTATGGTCGATGTTCCTGACAAGCTTCCAAAACAAAGTGTTACCAGGAAGTTATCTCAAGCGGAGGTCAGGTTGGAACGCTTTAAAAACGCGAACGCGAGGCGTGGTAACAACGTTACGAAGAACCCAGCCATTGGCCCGAAGAAACGATCTGACCCAATATTTCCAGCAAAATCCACTTGCAGGTACGTACGTAGAAATAAAGCCAGAAACAGAATGTAGAAAATTCCAAGCCGTGAAAATAATACGTAGATGGAACCGAAACGAGAACGACGTTATTTTTATATTAAAATGGTGAAAAAATAACTCGTATCGTATTTGCCGCCAGTGAAACCCATTTGCCCGCGAGTCTTCCATATTTATAAATCAATATTTACGAACACGTATCCGTAAATATTTATGAAATCCTTAATTTCATCTGGGCTTACACACGCGCACACACACCTACGAGAAACAACGTACCGCCGGTTGACAATATTTTTGTAATTCTACGAAATCTTCTGTTTATCTGAGAATAATATTTTTGCTCGCCTGTTTACCTAGCCAAACCTCGCCGAGAGCGTTAAAAGCGCAATTCTACTTTATACCGGTCGGTAAAGTAGATTGAAATTTAAGAGCGTTTCTCAAGGAAGGTCGTGCAGTGCTGAACTACGAGGTAACTATCGTTAGCTGGATAAAATTGGCTGTTGCAAGTTTCAACGCGTATTCGACATTGACAATTAAGATACGCCGTTCTCGTTGTCGTTTTCCAATTTCCGACAGAGATCATCGCTGAAACCATCAAACTACTGGAAACAAAATTCGCTGCACTTCTAACGATACTACAGTTGCACTGCGGACGTTTACGCGCATTTAATTAAGACAAAATGTACACGCGCACGCGCATAATACACGAAGATATATAAAATATCCATAGTATAGTTGCTGCAAAAAAAGAAACAACGAAATTTTTGCTGCAACGTTTCTTCAGTCTTATTCACAGAACTATAATTCTGCATAAACATCCGCGGTCTAGTCACGACAAATTTCAACTAACGATAATTCGGACAAACAATCATGTTTCATGTAATCCTTGTCAGCGCTTTACCGACCGCTAGCGATTCAACAGCACGCGCACGTCCGACCGGCATCTCAGGCGCAGTCTCTCCCTGGCGCCGGCTCTGTTTCGGTTTAGACTCTCCAATACCGTTCTTTTTCTTCATCGCGAACGGTACGTTTTTGAAATTCGTGTAAAACCGAGAGCCTACGAAACTGACGCAACTGAACAAGCAACCTTGATACTAAATAACAAACTACTGCTGAAATAATGAGAAAGATTGTCGTCGACAAAAAGCCGATTAATAGGCTGTCGGTCGGTAAGTGTCGGAGACAGAAAGCCGATTAATAGCCTATCGGTCGGTAAGTGTCGATAACAAAAAACCGATTAATCGGCTATCGGTCGGTAAAGTGTTAAATGCCTAAAGATATCGTCGACTGGCCGGACATCAGCAGTTGCTGTTGCTCAATGTACCATCGAGAAGCTTAGCAAGTGTTCCGTTGTTTCGCGTGAAACAACACTGCACGCTAAATCGTACGGTGAAGAACGTCAACTCGTGTCGCACGAGCGAAGATATCTTCGGCCAATCTAAAGTATCTTGAAGACATTGTTTCTAGCGTTTTCTGCGACAGTGTTAGGTCGTAACTTGTCTTTACACTTAAAATTGTCATTGCTTCTTAAAATTCTCATTCTGTCTGTCTATTCACAAAATCCTTTTACTCTTCTTTCGTACATACGCCGCGCATCTTCCGCTACTTTTCACTTCTCCACTGTATTTTGTCCCTTTTTGCTCCTGCGTCCCGCGCGTTAATCCGCTACAGCAGAAGGTTTGTCGAACAAGTAAATAAATCAGATGAATATTCCACATCGCAAATGAACGAAATATTTCTGCTATTTCAAAAAAGAAAACAAAATGATACATACGAGGGAGGGAAAAAAAGAACGTAGAGAATAGAAAGCATCTTAACGCGCAAGTAGCTCGCGTCTTTCGACGATCGAATCGAACGTTGACAAATACGAATTCTCCGGCCGCTAATTGGCAATCAGCGCTAACAATCCGTCGCTGCTTTCGCCCCGCCAAACCCCTCTACGCCGCCGATTAATTTCTCGTTGCATAATTGCGATCGCTGACTAGGCTCGACTCGTTTAAACCCACGCAACCGTAGTAGCCTAACAATACGTGGTCCCTGGAAGTGATCATCCTTGAAAGAACAACTAAATGGCGCGTTTCCGGCAAAGTTAAAGGCGCAGCGTCTCCGGTTTGTCGCAAGAAGGAAGATGCGCCCGCTCTAATTTATATGTCCGCCTAACATTAAAGCTATCGGAGAAAGGATAAATCGGCCGAAGGACATTAAACGCTGCATCATCAACCATAACAGCCTACTCGCCAAGCATGAAGCCGTCGCAGTATCGGAGACAACGTGGACGAAAAAAAAAAAAAAAAAGAAAGAAATAAGAGAACAAAGCGTCTCGTGAAACAATTAGTCGCACCACTAGCAATATCGTCGACGACGATTACCAAATTTGTATAATTTCCATTGGATTTTCCTTAGTTGCTTCCTAGTTGAACAACGAATAAAAAAAAAAAAAAGTATCGTATTTGATGTTAAATTAACGAAATGATTCTGCTAAGTCTAACTTTCACGGCGGTTGACCGACGCACTCTCTTTTCCTCGGTGACCGAACCGTGTTTTCCGGATCCTAACGATGGACCGTACTTGAACTCCCACCATGTATATTGTTGCGACATTTTCTGTATCGAAGTTTTACGCTCCGAACGGAGGGAAACATCGGCGAAGCTCCACGTGGCTTTTCTCGCGGCTTTACCGCGTAACCAACATCTTCTTAACAAAATAAAACCGATCAGTCGAGACGAATAGCCGAAGATCGAAGCCAGCTGCTCTAGCTTTGTTTTGTCGCGAAGGAGAATCCTAGAAAATATCGTGTCCGCCTGACTCATTTTCCTCTGCTATCTTCTTCATGTCGGCTAACCACAACCGCAAAGCAGGATTAACACCAGATAACGAACGAAACCCGCATTGTAGAGCAAGAAGATAGAGTTAGCAAGGCTAAGCGCTGCCAAATGAGGATTTCTGAGGCTTGTAAGTTGTAAACAGAGTGGAATATTGTTATACTGATTGTGATTTCATAGCGCCAGCCGAATGACCAACACAGCTTCAGACAGAAGATCGAACGACGGGAAAAGTCCTGCAAGTAGCAAATCCAGAGGGAAGACACTGGTCTCTGGAAATGTGGGGGAAATGGTATCGTTGGATTCCGGGAGAAATGTGAGACGAAGAGACGAAAATCCACGGTTCTTCTGCGAAGAGTACGAGAAGTCTGCCACTGTGCACGCCGTTGGTTCGAAAACCGCGAGGAAATTGTCGCCTGATTTGTCTGAAGATAGAATACGAAGAAGCGAAAGGTCTGCGATATTTAATAAAGAGAAATCTGCTATTAAATACCCGATAGACTCGAAAGCTGCAAGAACATCGACATCCGAGTCGCTTAAAGATAAGACAGGGAAAAGACAAAGTCGCGAATTATTCTCTAAAGATGCTGGAAAATCGACCGTAACTTCTGCGACTGGCGCAACAACTGCTAGGAAATTGTCTTCTGAAGCTTTAAGAGATGTCAAGGATCAAGGCGATCATGGTAAATTTATCGCCGAAGAGTCTGAAAAATCAGCAACGACTTACGCGATTCGTCCAAAGTCTGCAGAGAGACCGATTCGTGAAGTTTCCGAAGTTACAAAGGACATTAAGCGACGAAGTGAAAGTCCGAAATTCTTCTGCAAAGAGTCTGAAAGATCAGCAACGACTTACGCGATCGACTCAAAGACTGCAGAGAAGTATACTCGCGAAAGTACGAAAGATACGGGGGATTTGAAACGACGAAGTGAAAGTCCGAAATTCCTCTCCAAAGAGTCTGAAAAATCAGCAACGACTTACGCGATCGACTCAAAGACTGCAGAAAAGTATACTCGTGAAGCTACGAAAGATGCGAGGGACTTGAAACGACGAAGTGAAAGTCCGAAATTCTTCTGCAAAGAGTCTGAAAAATCAGCAACGACTTACGCGATTCGTCCAAAATCTGCAGAGAGACCGATTCGTGAAGTTTCCGAAGTTACAAAGGACATTAAGCGACGAAGTGAAAGTCCGAAATTCTTCTGCAAAGAGTCTGAAAGATCAGCAACGACTTACGCGATCGACTCAAAGACTGGAGAAAAGTATACTCGCGAAAGTATGAAAGATACGGGGGACTTGAAACGACGAAGTGAAAGTCCGAAATTCCTCTCCAAAGAGTCTGAAAAATCAGCAACGACTTACGCGATTGATCAGCAACGACTTACGCGATCGACTCAAAGACTGCAGAGAAGTATACTCGCGAAAGTACGAAAGATACGGGGGATTTGAAACGACGAAGTGAAAGTCCGAAATTCCTCTCCAAAGAGTCTGAAAAATCAGCAACGACTTACGCGATCGACTCAAAGACTGCAGAGAAGTATACTCGCGAAAGTACGAAAGATACGGGGGATTTGAAACGACGAAGTGAAAGTCCGAAATTCTTCTGCAAAGAGTCTGAAAAATCAGCAACGACTTACGCGATTGACGGAGAAACAAGTAAAAAATTCTCACTCGAAGGTTTAAAAAGCGTCAAGAAACGAAGCGACAGTCCAAAACCTACAACTTACGCGATCGAGCCAAAGTCCGCAGAAAGATTGATTCGTGAAGTTTCCGAAGATATAAAGGACGTTAAACGGCGAAGTGAAAGTCCGGAATTTTTCTGCAAAGAGTCTGAAAGGTCAGGTACCACTTACGCGACTGACTCAAAGCTCGCAGGAAAATTAGCCCGTGTTTCTTTGAAAGATATAAAAGATGTTAAACGACGAAGTGAAAGCCCAAGATTCTTCTGCAAAGAGTCTGAAAGATCAGCTACCACTTACGCGATCGACGCAAAAACAAATAAAAGATTCTCTTTCGAAGATTTAAAAGACGTCAAGCAACGAAGCGATAGTCCAAAATCCACAACTCACGCGATTGACTCAAAACGTGCGGGAAGATCGATCCGTGAACCTGCTGAAGACATAAAAGACGTTAAACGACGAAGTGAGAGCCCGAGATTCTTTTGCGAAGGATCTGAAAGATCAGCTAAAACTTACGCAATTGATCGAAAGGCTGCTAATTCCATGAAGACCAGAACACCACGTAGCGATAGTCCGAAATTCTTCTGCAAGGAATCGGAGAAATCAGACACGGCTTATGCGATAGACTCGACAATTCTTCCAACGTCCCCTAATTATATGAAAGACAGTAAGAGCTCCGTATTAAAAATCGAATCAAAGAACAAAAAGGATACGACTATTAACACGATAAGAGAATCAACGAACGACGCCATGAAGAGACACGCTACATTTCCCAAACGCGATGCAGTCAGCAAATCTTCTTCTTTGGAAAGTGCAAAATATGACGTGATATCTTGCGCGAAACCCGAGTACCAAACTCTGCGTAAATTTACCGAAACCAAGTTACCTGACGTTTTCGAGCGTCTAACAAGAGAACGTAGCTCGAGTCCTCGGTCTTTTTGTCGCGAAGGCAGAAGATCAGCCACGACGATGAGCACTCGCAACAGGGACACCGAGTCCACCTCTGTATCTGCAAACGCGGTCGAGGAAATGAAAAAGAAAGGCAGCGAGAGTCGAAGAGTCGGTTCTGGAAAGCGCGATGCTTCGATAATTCGTGCTGACGAATCGAAATCACCAGACTTCGCGAAAGCATCGTCCAGAAGCTGCAGCGTAAGTCCGCAGTACTTCGGCTCGGATTCTGACAGATCCGCCAGCGTCCTGATGGTCACGCCGGAGACGATAGTGAAAGCAAAAACAGATCTAGCGTGGTGCAGGAAAAGAGAACAAAGTCCTACGTTGTACGTTTCCAAAGGCGAGAAGCTCGTCACGAACGTACCGAGAGAAGCGACAAGAGGATCGTCGACAGAAAGCCATGACGAGACAGCGAAACGCTTCATCAGAAGCTCGGTATCGCGATTTTTCTCGGAGCAATGTGAAAGAGCAGCGAGAAACGTGGAGCCGAGAAAGCTTCAACTGACAGACGCCAGAACACCGAGTCAGACGAAGTCGCAGTTCGATGATGGACGAGCTGAGAGGGACGAGAGAACGAGTTTCGTCGCAGACGGCAGTCGCGACTCGTCGCCCGGGTCTCGAGAAATCGTGGAAAGTAGAGAAGAAACGCCAGAATCCTTGCGTTACGAGACAGAAGAGTGCGCCATTGCTACGAGCCTTCAGCCTGAAATTTGCACAGACGTTGAGCAACCGCCCAAAGGTGCGCACTCGCTTAAACAAACAGTTACGCGTGAGATTACGGCAAGGCCAAGGAATCTATCGACCAACGTCAAGGACAGATTCTCGAAGAGTCCTTTAAGCGTCAAGGACGACAATTTGACAGCCGAAAACGCGAATGCACTTAGCCGTAGAGGGTCCGCCGGTGTTCTACGTTCGACGAAACTGATTCGCGACGTACTGCAGCGTCAGAGTGGCCAAGATCAGGTGGATGCTTCGCCTGGAATATCCAGCGAATGGGAAGAGCGACCGAGGGCCGACAGGATGCAGGCAGAAACGAGGGTGGACAGGAAAGTTGAGGAAAGAGCTGGGACGCCGACTGGTCGCCAACTGGGATCGAAAAGTTACAGGTCCGTGGAAGTGGACACGCAGATCGGAGAAGTCAGGACGCCTGAACGATACGTAAAACAGGAACAGCTTCGAGGCACTTACTCGAGATCGAGCAAGGGAACAGCCTGCGAGAAGTCGAGTGTTGGAAAGTTGCTGACGTATTCCGTGCGCAAGCCGGTTAAACAGAGAGGGTCGTTGCTGAAGTCGAACATTTTCCAGCAATCACTGAGAGGTCGAGATTCGGCGGACGAGAGGCCCGTTAGCTCGAAACGTACAACGCGAATTGCGTCTCTGAAGAAGGAGCCTGCAGCTTGTGCTCGTAGCTTGCAGAGTCGAACGAAGGGAAACACGGCAAATGGGAAGAACAAGAGCGACACTTTGAAGGCTCGCAGCCAAACAGCGAGTCCGATCTCAGCAAGCAGCGGAAAGACGAGCTCAGAGACGGTTGCTGATAAGAGGAACATGGACAGATACGATGCTTCGAAGCGTATAACGCGAACGTCCAACGAATCCATCGCTCGTGGCTCGGAAGGAGCAACTGATGTGGCAGATCGAAGCGGCGAAACCAAAATCCCAAGAGCTGGAGCACGAACTGCCAGGAAGCAGAGTATCGCGGATGAGAGGAAGAAAGGCAAGACGTCTAAACAGGCTGAAATTTTGAAGTCCACGCAGCTCGTTCGCAGTGCTACAAGAGGATCAGACTTTGCGCAGGAATCACGAAAAATGGTTGGCGAATCAGTTGACGACGGTACAGTCAGAGACGAACAGACTGAAATGAGGAAAAGTTGCTGCCCCTCGACGATCGATATTAGAAGGTCGGAGGCCGGCTTAACTTCTATAAAGGAACTTTCCAAGAATTACGAGAGAACAGACTCGGTGGAGTCGGCTCTCAGACGTTTCGATTCGATCGGAACTGAGGCTGAATCGATCCGAGGCACGTTGGAACGAAGCGTGGAATCGATACCGAAGGAAATACGAAGGAAATCTGGCGGAAGCATTGGCCGCAAGGCTGACTCAAAGACGATTTCGCCGAAAGCACTTGATCCACCGAATGTAAATCTTTTCGCTAAGAGAACGTGCTCCAGCAAAGCTACGACCGTATCCAGAAGCGCAATGGCCGCCGCTAAAGGGAGGCAGGCTGAAACGCAAGAAACGCGGAGGCAGAAAAAATTGGAGAAAGCCAAAGACTCGATAGAGATCAGCCGAATTGCCATAAGATCGAGATCGCTGTCGTGCAAGCGGAAGCTTTTCCAGCACACTGATTCCAGCGAGACTGGAAGCGTTGCATCGAGGTGCAGCATCGATTCCCTGAGAACCGTGGAACGTCTCTCGACGACTTCCAATAAGAAGAAAACGCGCGACTCGGTGAATACCACGTCGAAACGCTTCGAATTCTCTGGCAACGACGAGACGTCGACGCAGACGATAGACAAAGCAGAAACGGATAAAATGACAACAGGTGTGGGTTGCTCATCGACGAAGCAACTGAGATCGATCGAGGATATTCGTAGGTCGATCGAGGACGAAAGTTGGGATCGCGAAACGGGGCAACCGTCGGTGATGTCGGCGATCGTAGGCAGCGTGGCGAAAGCAGCGGGTCGATCGAAACCTCGTCGAATAAATGTCAATGATCGCGCTGGAAATAGAAAAGAGATATGTTCACCGGGGCGGTCGATGAACCTTACCGCGAGCAACGACGCTTTAGGGGATACGGAGCGTTCGTCTGTAAAGTGTACGATGCGTTTCTCCAGGGTCGCGAAAAGTCCGAGCCCGGAGACGACCAAGGAAACGAGCATCCGTGCGAGAAGAAACATCCCAACGTCGCCGTCCAAAAGTCCGGACACGGTCGCTAGGGTAAGCAAGAATTGCATAAAAGGTTTTCCTTTCTCTTCAATGATTTTGACGTTTCGATGGAAGCACACGATTATGGTAACGTGTTTCTGCTTGCAAATTGTTAAGGCAAATGGTAATCTCATTTTTAGTATGTCATTAACCAGTTAGCTGTTGCCACCTGTTTGAGAACTTTGAAAAGCGTGTACCTGAAACGCGTGGCGGAAAATAAGTAAATGACGAGTATACTCGTCAAGCATAGAATGTGTGTTATTATATGGAATCAAATTGTAACGAAAGGACCGTTTCATTTTTTAATTTTATCACTCACAGGACTCGTCGTAACGCAAACTACTGGCGTTTCTCCGTGACGAGTATACTCGTCAAGCACAGAGTGTATATTATAATTTGGAATCAAATTGTAACGAAAGGACCGTTTCATTTTTGAATTTTATTACTCATAGGACTCGTAACGCAAAGTACTGGCGTTTCTCCGTGACGAGTATACTCGTCAAGCACAGAGTGTATATTATAATTTGGAATCAAATTGTAACGAAAAGACCGTTTCATTTTTTAATTTTATCACACACAGGACTCGTCGTAACGCAAACTACTGGCGTTCCTCCGTGACGAGTATACTCGTCAAGCACAGAGTGCGTGTTATAATATGGAATTAAATTGTAACGAAAGGACCGCTTCATTTTTTAATTTTATTACTCACAGAACTTGCGTCTTAACGCAAAGTACTGGCGTTTCTTCGTGACGAGTATACTCGTCAGAGACAGCTGACTGGTTAAAATGGTATTAATCGCTTTTGTTAAAACATGGCTTTCGTTAGAAGATAACGAGAAAAGCGTCAATTGTTTGGCGTGACAGTTTCAAACGAACGCGTATCTGTTGCAGCGTGCGTCGAGCGAGTTGAAAGCTCAAGACACAAGATCGACGAAACGGCCAACGACTATGAAAGGCACCGAGCCAATTGGAAACAGGAAGGCGTTAACGGCGACGAGCACAACTACGAAAAAATCAGCGGACGTGGTCGATAGCGCTATTCTCGAGAATGGTCTGCATTTACGAGACCAAACTGCCGAAACGAAATACGATAACGACTCGCCTACGAAGAAAAGCGACGCTCTGGTCGTCGACTTGGACGAGCAACCGCCGAAGGAAAACGAGCCACTTCCGCGGAAACCGCTCTTACGAAAACAGTCCACCGAGGTGAGCACATACCTGTTAATCGATTATGTTAAATAAAAATAACGCAGACTCCGTACAGAGGGTTGAGTTAATAATTTTGTAGTGAAACGAAGGTTTTGATGTAACAATGTAGCGATTGAAGCAAGTTCTTCTAGTTAGTTGTAGTGGCGTAAGTTTCGAATTTTAAAGCTGCTGTTCTCCTCGCTCCTTTTTCACGTTCATGTTCCTTGGGATACTGTGCTGCGAGTAATCATAGACTCGTTCTTTCTTCGATAATTTCAAGAAACCTCAGCTCCTGCCTGGATATGATAAATGAAAATGTTTTTGTAAAACATAAATTGAACGCTATGCTTACGTAATTGAAAGAGGAGACAATTTTTCAGCGAGACAGTGCTCCTATTCGTACAGCCGCCGGTACAGAAAAATGATTTCAAGATTTCGAAATGGAATTATTACCATGGCCAGCATCGAGTTCTCGTCCGAAATCCCAATCGACAACCTATGGGGAATTCCAGCGAGGAAAGGTTATCACCGGGAGGAGCCACCTGTAGAAAATATCGTTGAATTTAAAAAAGAAGAATAAGATTTGCTTTGAATAAGTTGATAGATAGTGTAGAGTAACAGATTAATAGGAGTAATCAAAGATAAAGAAACATCTGTTGAAAATATTGAATGAAAATGTAACAAAATTAACTTACAAATACAAGTTTACAATACAAGTTTAATTAGAAAAAGATTTGGTTTTCCACCAGATTTCGAAGGAGACAAATTTTTGTTTGTTTAATCTTCAGCTTTGGTTTACGTTATATTAAAGAATATTGTCAATTTTTCTTCGAATATTATGAAATATCCTAAAAATGAAGTGCAGTTCATAATTATTCATGGCACTGTATCTTCTTTCCAAATTTTGCAATACTTTGTTCATGAAAGGTGCAATGTAAGCAAAGGTAGGAAAATTTGTATACGTTTGATGTTAAAACCAAATATTTCATAACTGTGTACCTTTTCTTTGTTTTTGTTTTTTTTTTGTAATATTAATTTTCTATAAAAAGTTGAGAAAGTACATACTCTTTATATCTGATGTTCCAGAAATGTAAAAAATCTCAAGGACACAGAAGTAATTATACTTGCATTGATAGTTTCACTACAAGAAAAAATGTTCTCATCTTTGTTATTAAATGCAGACAAAATTTATATTATAAAAGCATATGATAAAATGTAATCGAATTTAATAAAAGTATCCTAATTGTAATTCTCGCATAGCTAGACATATAATACAAGAAAGGAACTTCACGCATTTATTCTATTAATTTGCAAACATAATTCGTCCGCGAATGATGTGCTCTTGGTTGCAAAGATAGTTTCAATCGAACATCGTATGCAATTTTTCTGCCACAGCTTGAAGTTTGGTATGTGAGAAGTAAGTAGAAAGCTTTAGAGAGTAAAATGTCTGGTGCTCTTTGACGTTATTTAACCCGGGAAATCCAGCGATTTCGCTGCACATGGATTCCTCTTCCTCCAATTTCTGATTAAACGAAATATTCGCAACAGCGAAATTTCCTAGTCGCCTTGCTAAATTCTAACAACAAAATTAAACTGTACTATCAACAGGTATTTCCTACATTTCATATCATTGAATAATTTTGTTAATATTAGGAATCGAATAGTTACCCAATTGCTAGAAGTGTGACACATATGAAAAATCACCAGTTTACCAGCTATTTATTAAGGCAAAAGTATCATAAACAGCTAATAAAAATAAGCTATTTTGCAAGAGCAGTGTCCTCATGCGATATAGAAAATTGTTAATCCATCATTTAACAATGAGCAACATATATGAGCAATATTTTATTAGAGTCCCTGTAAAGTAAAAAACTATTAGCCAAATTGTAAATGAAAAAGATTGTTCTATCTATAAACAGTTTATAGTTAACAATTTTAATATTAATATTTTAATATACATTAATAATTCTCTGGCTGAAACTTTCTGTTGAAAAATTGGCCTCCTTCTATTGCAACTTTTTTTTGAAATATTCTATCGAAAATATTCTATTGAAGTAAAAATAATTATCGTTTAACGTTTCTATTAATTAGAAACAGATTACTTCCATGCAATCAACACGGCCACCATCGGTTTCGTCCACATCTGGTGGTAGCCCCATGCAAGGTCAGACTTCCGGTTCTAGAAGCAAAATGGCTTCGAGAGCAAAGACGCCAATTTCCGGTTCAACGGGATACAAAGGATCAGCTTCCAGCAGAACCGGAGGAACCGCGGCAGCGACGTAAGAATTTTTAGAGTAATTGGTTTTCCTGTTATGAGATTAAGGAGCTTGTAATATCTCAGACAAATATTTCAGGGAAATATTTTATCGTCAAACTCGTGACACCTAAAATTATCCTTATTTTAAAATGTTTAATATCCTAGGGCTGATATTATTATTTTGCTCGATAAATTTATACACTGTGAGTAGAAAGAATATAGCTAAAAGAAGTTGTTAAAATGTGACGTCTGTAACGATGAAAATAATTGTGAAAAAAGTAATATTTTTACTATAAACAAATTAGAAATAATTTCTAAATAAACGAACGAAATATCAACAGGTGTTGGAGAAAAAGAAAATATTTCGTTATCTTGCTATCTTAGAATCGCTTGTGTCAAACATAATCTTAGGAATTGAAGGAACTTTTCGATCAATTTTCTTTGCAGAAGAAGATACCAACGTTTTTTTCCAAATCTCATCAAATTCTTTTCTAAAGATGTTACAGTGACGCTCTGGTTCCTTGCAAAATGTGTGGCCGCCGTTTCGCTCAAGATCGAGTAACCCTTCACGAGCAGATTTGCGCGAAAACGACCCAAAAAAAGAGGAAACAATTCGATACGATGATGTATCGCGTAAAAGGCACCGATCTCGAACCGTTCGTGAAAAAAGGACTTGTGAAAAAACAAGTGGAGGTCAGTACTTCTTGTCCTCTTCCGATCCTTCAAAATTCCCATCTCAGTTCATCCTAACTGTACGAAGCTTTAAACAAAGTAAATTGTAAATCCATGTTTGCAGAGGTAAAAATTAATTCGACTTGTTATAAAAGAATATAACGCGAAGGACAAGACTAACGTAAGAGTAAGAATTGTATGCAGTGTATTTGGAGAAAAAATTTAATACTAAAACTACGAAATCAGTGAAAATAACTAATTGTAATCGTAATTGTTAGTCAATTAGTTATTGGTCAAATGATATCAACCATCCACGATATATAATTATCTCAATTTTCTCAATAATTTTCAAATAATATTATATTTATATTTCAAATAATATTATAATATTATATATAATATATATATAATAATAATAATATTCACAATTCAACATGCGATATAATGACAATGACAATACTAGAATATATTAGGTTGGCAACTAAGTGATTGCGGATTTTGTCATTACCACCTAATGGCAAAATCCGCAATCACTTAGTTTCTAACCTAAAATCTTTTCAGTGATGGAAGAATACCACTATCTTATATATATTTTAGTAGATAGAAATCTTTTTTAATGGCAATGCTGGTCCGTATCACGAAAAGAAATCCACTATAAGAGATCCATTTATACCACGAAAGAATCAATCGTTTAATTTTTTTTTCTTCTCTTTTAGAGAGAAGGACGAGAGATATCGATTTAGAGGAATGAAACGGATTGTCGTTTTGCATGTTTCAGAAATCGAAGAAGCCGGAGATAAAGTCGAACTGGCGGCGCAAACACGAGGATTTCATTAACGCCATACGCTCGGCCAAACAAGTACAAGCACACCTGGCCGCAGGAGGCAAGCTCAGCGATTTGCCACCGCCGCCGGTTAGCGATAACTACGATTACATTCAGTGTCCCCACTGCGGAAGAAAATTCAATAAGGCTGCCGCCGAGCGTCACATTCCCAAATGCGAACACATGTTGCACAATAAGCCGATACACTCGCGAGCGCCGAAACCAAGGCGTTAATTCTGCCGGAGTCATTTCTGCTAAACGATCTTTCTATATACGTACATCGAGCAGGAACAAGATAGATAAAAGTGTCTTTATTTTGAGAAAAATCAACTTGAAATAAATTTTGGAAGGAGAAAAGGAAACCAGAACGAAAGATTAAATTAAATCGTAGCTTGAAGCGTGATGTTATATTTATAGTAAAATGTGAAAAAATATAGACACAATAATTACGATATTTTTAATAGAACGCAGCTTTCATGAAGCACCTTGTCTCTATCTTGTTCGTGCGATCGATACAGTTTTATACAAGCGTCGCGTTGATTATGGAATACTTAGAAAATGTTGTATGGGATCTTACATAAATGGAGAAAAAATCTCGCAGAAGACCGTCATCTATCGGACATGTGCAGAAGACGAATGTAAAAGCGATTTGTATCTACTGCTTGAAATCTATGGGTTTCCTCCGTGTATTTGGGACAAATGTATTTTCCAATTATACTAAAATAAAATACGAATTTTCTCTACACCCTGTATATACATCTGTACGTAGCGAAACGAACAAATATGTTTGATCGTTATTTTTTCAAAAAATATGCAGACAAAAGATATGCAGAAATGATAATATATACATATATTTCCTCTGTTTATTTTGTGAATTAAAAGATCATGAACTAATAACTATCTGTTTAAGAGAAATTAAAATTTACGGCATCTCGTTGTGAAAATTTAACATATATTTTGGAACGCTTACTTTTTACGTATTTGTATCTTTTTATACAATAATAGTAGCGAAATATTGTATGGCTATTTGTCGCATTGTAATCGATCCTCCCAAAACAAAGAACGTATTGTGTCCTCGTATAATAACCGTATGTAATTAGTGAACGTTGTTTAGAGCTGATGAATTAATTATTAGCAAAAGCCGTTTTGATTAATGTTAAACATATTGTGATTTATTTTGTAAGTTTTCATTGAAATAGATTGCCACACCGAACGAGGAAACATTTTTATAGCGCTTAATCTTCTTAATAAACGGAAATATTGTAACATTATTGTTATAATGAATTATTGGGAGCTAATAAACTAACTTTTTAATAAAAGAATAATAATGACGCAACATATCTACCTTTTCAATTGTATTAAATATTATATCGTATTTAAAGTATTACGAGACTTGTTGGATTTTCTTATCTGGAAGATGAAAAACTGTTGGATTTGACGAGAAAAAATTATAGTGAATTAACACGAAATTCTAGGAAATTTAAGGAAATATTAAACCTGGAATGTTGGCAATGAAAGTACATACGTAATTGGACGGAGTCCATGAGAGCAGACGATTCCCGGTTGATACAAGAAATATGTATTTAAAAAGTTGTCTGTGTCCGTCAGATTGTCATGATTAAAACGCGAAGTCTTACAATATTTTTGAACCCGTTCCACGTATAGAATAACATAATGAATCATTTAATTATCTTGGTGGCTTTAGTACATTTATTGTACTGTCCATTTACAAAAGTGGAAGAAAGTTTCAATCTACAGGCTATGCACGACATTTTATACCATGGTTTTAACCTGTCGGAGGTAATTATTATAGTATTTATTGGAATTATATGATATTAGAAAACAAGTGTTTAAGAATTAAATAAGTAGTAATAAGAGAGAGAATATTTGTCTTGCTGCCTTGACAGGTTGCTGACATACAATCAAAGAGATATTACGCAAAAACTTAGACATTATATTTAGAAGCAGATGCATGTATTTATAAACTTACGATCAGCTGATATAGTTTCTGCACGCTTGAAGAGTTCGCTAATATATTAATTTCTGCTTTCATTAAAGTGAAAGTATATTAACAAAATTTTTGAAATTATATATGCTCATTAATAACATACTATGATAATTTGTAGCCAAAAACATAGCCAAAAAGAAAATCAAATAGTTTACAGCATTTGTATAAAAACATATTCATAGATTCGTTAAAAAAAAAGAAAGACAAGTAACTAATCGTTTGTAACATATTCTTGTTCTATGATAGTATGATCATCATGAATTTCCTGGAGTTGTGCCACGATCGTTCATGGGACCAATTATAATATCAGGCTTGGCATCACCATTAATAGCAATCATTAATTATTTGCAACTTAATAAATTTTTTGCTCAATACGTTGGTAAGTTGATTAATATCATTCATTAGCATTATTAACAGTTTTTATCTTATTATTGATATTAAATCTTTAATTTATAAAACATATCGTATTAAAAAGAGGTAATTAACATCATGTTTTTCCAGTAAGAGCAACATTGGGCTTGTTAGTAATAGGCACATTGAAGCTATATAAAGATGCTTTACAAAGCATATTTGGTTTGCAATTTACAAAATGGCTTGTTGCAATTATTGTGACACAATATCACTTTATGTACTATCTAAGTCGTCCATTGCCAAATATAATGGCTATGCCACTAGGTAATTTAAATTCAATATTATCTGTATTTTATTTAGTGGTTTACATGATTATTATTACTTGTATATCATATGTATATTGTAGTGCTACTTGCTTTATATGGATGGTTGAAACAAAATCACATGATATTTATTTGGTCATCTGCAGCAGCAATAATAATATTCAGAGCAGAACTTGCCATGCTACTGGGATTATTCCTTTTGTACGATATAGCCAACAAGAAACTAACCATACTAAGGTATTTACATATTATATTGTGGACCATTGATTCCTAGTATGGCTGTAACATTGCATACAGAAGTGATTAGAATCATCAAGGAACCTTCTGCAAAACTGCACTGATTTGTAAGCTTTGTTTGCTTATAAAACTTATTAACATAACAAAACCCTTCTGTCAAAAATAACTAAATTAAACATAAATTTGATAAACTGCAATAAGACTTATGCTATTGTTAAAAGTAGAAAAGAAAAGTGATTAAAAATAATTTCGTAACATAGAAAACATTCATCTATTAAAGCTATATAAATCATTAGAACAAAAGCTTCATAAAATTAATAATTTTTTAGACTGTTTAAAATTGCGATTCCGGCCGGTATATTTTTTCTAACGCTAACGATCACAGTAGACTCTATATTTTGGAGACGATTATTATGGCCTGAAGGAGAAGTATTTTACTTTAACACTATCCTTAATAAAAGCAGCGAATGGGGTGTATCCTTTACCAGAGTCACTATTTTTAAATGCATTTATTCAAAATGATAATTTTAAAGTATTTTATATATTACTTAACATAAAAACAGACATCGCCATTCTTGTGGTATTTTTACTCAGCTCTGCCTCGTGGGTTAGGTTTATCTTACTTTTTAATACCTTTGGGTATGTTATGGGATGCACGAGTTCGAGCATTAACAGTTCCTGGTATAGCATTTGTTGCATTGTTCTCATTTTTACCACATAAAGAATTGAGGTTTATCATATATGTCTTTCCACTGCTAAATGTTAGTGCTGCAGCCGTTTGTCATAGAATGTAAGTAACTTACATTTAATTTTGCTTTTTGAGCTATTTTTAATTTTTAAATGTCTGAAATTGTAATTATACAGTTCTTTGTTTTCTTAAATTAGATGGGAAAACAGAGGGAAAAGTCCATGGAATGGAATTTTAGCACTAATAATTTTAGGCCATCTAGTTTTAAATGCTCTATTTTCTATGTTTCTTTTATGTGTTGCTGGTTCTAACTATCCTGGTGGTTTAGCTATTGCTAAATTACATAGACTCGAAAAAGATTCTATCAACCCAGTGCATATACACATTGATATTCTAACTGCACAAACAGGAGTTTCAAGATTTACGCAAACAAATAGTTCTTGGATGTAAGTTTTATAAATGACTATTTGAAGTAGTCATAAAATGACCAATCTCTCTAAAATGATAATATGCTAAAGATAAATTTCTTTAGACCCAAATAATAGCATAATCTAATTTATGATTAATTAACTTCCAGTTATTCAAAACAAGAAAATTTGACTATTGACAGTCCTGAAATGCTTCAATTTACACATCTTTTAATGGAAGCCAAAAGTAAATACTCACCCAATATAAAACCATATCTTAAAACACACGATATCTTAGATTCTGTAGATGGTTTTTCTCATATAGCATTAAATTATAATATGTTACCACCAATAAAGATAAAAACTAGACCAATTATATTTATCATGAAAAGGAAGCCTAATATACGATATGATCCCAAGAAAGCAACACCGCAGACAGTTTTGAAACAGTCAAAGGAAAATGCTACAAAGAAAAGCATGGGCAGCAAGGACGTCATAAATGACACTGTACAAGATATGGAACCAATATTGGATGAAATAATGGAATCGTTAGAGCAATTTGAAAAACCATTAAATATTAATGATGTAAATATATTAAATTTAGAAGTATCAGAAGATGAATTAAATAACAAAACAAACGAACCTACTGAACTCATTGAATCATTAAGCACAGAAAAGTTTCCTAATAACATATCTGAGAATAAATTATCACAGTTACACACATCAATCAACGAAGAAAACCTACAAACCATACCAAAGTTACAAAATGATATCATGACTGAAAGCAATACTGAATTGCAACCTGATGTTGAGAATAATTCTAATATTAGTGAACAAAAATTGGATATAAAGGAAGAAGAAAATAAAAAGATAGAAGTAGCTAAAGAAAGATTAAAACTTGATAATGTTCAACAAGATGGTAGTATTTTAAAGGAAGTTGTTAAAAAACTTATTCAAGAAAAACTGGAGGCAGTTAAATTAAGAAAAGATGTAATAGACGAGAAAGTATTACCAGAAATTCCACAGAAAATTAATGCTAAAATGAAAAGAATAATTCCAATAAAAATAGAGTCATCACAAAAGATAAAAATTATAACGAAGCAAGACTTAAAAGAAAAATATTCGGTGATTCAAGAATTAAAAGAAAAACCTGCAATAGCTCAAGAGATGAAAGAAAAGCCTGTAATAATTAAAGAAATAAAAGAAAGACCTATGATAATTCAAGAGACAAAAGAAAAACCTATGATAAAGCAAGAACTAAAAGAAAAGTCTGCAGTAATCCAAGAAACAACAGATCAACATAAACCACTTAATATGAAAGAAAGCATCAGAAATATAATCAATCAATTTAAAGAATTCGAAAAAGATTTTGTACATGAAGATTCAGAAATAGATAAAAAAGAATTAGCTGTTAAATATAATGAGCAACCTACAGAAACAAGTACAAAAAAAGCAGAAGATTTACTAAGAATAGATATTATGACAGAAAGTAGAGGTGTAAAAACAATCAAAGATGCCAAAGAAAGTCTACGGGACATAATAAATCAGTTTAAACAAATAAAAAGCGAATTAACTTCAGAAGAAGACGATCTATTTGAAAAGATTGAAGCTACATATATGGAACGACCAATTGCAGAAACGTTAATGCAGTTTAGTGAAGCTTTAAAAAATTTAGTACAACGAAGAAAAAAAAGTAAGACATTTACTATAAACACTTTTGAAAATAAAAATGATAAACCTAAACCACAAATTTTACCAAAACTGGCGGTAGGGGATCATCAGTTTCCAACAGAATCTCCAAAAAATTAAAAAATGTAGAATTATAATAATGAAGGAAAGATATATAATACAGAAAAAGCAGAAAAAATCATTCGAAATATTAATGGAAATGATGGCTCAAGCCAAGGTACAAATAAAGTTTTACAAGAAAGGTATTTTATCACGTATACCAATAACAAAAACGTCCCCATAAATGCTCAAAAATCTAGTAATAATGTTTCAAACATTATAGTAAATGACTATGCTTCCAACGAAAAAGATGAAATGATGCAAAAAAAAATGAGAAATAGCTCAAATTGAATGTTGAAATAACTCATTATTTTGTGCTTTTTAATAGTACAGCTATATAATTATAGTAAACTGTAAATACATTGTTCTGTGATAACAAAAATGTATATCTTAATTAATGCTCATGCATTACCAACACGGAAAAGAACGAAATTTATTTTTCCTGTGTTATTGTCTAAAATATCAAAAAACACTGAAAAATGATAAAGCATTTGTTTAATATATAGTATCACGAAGATGCCACAACTGTTATTTTGTATGTATACTTGTTACAAAGAAAAATTCAAATTAAAAATTTAGATATTTAACAGTAGAAGTTTACATATTTAATATTAACATGTATGTATATAGTAATTGTTTTGTGTATTGTAAAAATATCTTATTAATTTTTTATATGTTTAGATGTTAACATATTTATCTATATATTACATTATTTGATATAAAACTAATATTTACCAATGCATGTTTTAAAAAAAAGAGCATAATTCTATTATTCACCCTTAACTGTTTACAATTTTGCTAAACTGCCTTATGAGAATGGTATCATTATTTTCTTTTTTCTATCCTAGCATTTAAATTTTGCTTTCTCATATCCTGTGCTTTTCCTGTTGTAGCTAAGACATTACTGTATCTTATGTTACTTAAGTTTATTTCTTTAATCATATTCTCATCAGATAGAGTTTATCAAAAAAAGAAAGTACATTCATTTCCATATTGGTATTTGCAGAGCATTCAAGTGCCTTACAGTCTCTTCCAAATTCTATATGTTGTAAAATATTAAAAAATTATATGTATACATGTATAACATACTATGTATTAATATTTTGCAATAAGTAAAAGTGATTTAATATCAAAACTGTAAATTAATACCTAATATTACTATTTCAATCATTGATAATCAAATATGGCCAAATTGCAATTAAAGATTTTATTAAAGAAAATTATACAATTAATCAATGTTAAATTTTTTTTATTGCAATAAGTTTCTTATAATTCTATGAATATTTCTCGAGTAATATCTTTATTCCTTTAAATGATTGTATTGTGCAATACACAGTAAATGCTACAATGATCCAATATACCACTTTATCTCGTGTACCACACTTTAAATACACAGGAAGATTATCTTCACACTGTTTAAATAAATGGAAAATAATTATATATAAATTACACGGAGTTCCTTTAATTATCATACATCACGTCATTTTATATTTATATCAAAATCAGTTAGACCTGCATTCTTGCTTGCTTTAATTTCAGTTTCTGTAAGTTTTTATCAGAAATTAATCGTGGACGCCCCATGCAAATTGATCGATGTGATAAGATAATGTTCTTACGAAAAGCTTTTAGCTGAACAATCTACGAATGTAATTTTATATGTTTCAAATTATTTGATAACATTCAAGAACCATATTGCATAAATATTTTCATTATGATAAATTTATAATGTAATGTTTATGTAATATACAATACAAAAAGAAGTTGATATGTTGTCGGAAAAGTAGTAAAAGACATTTTCAAGAATATTTACTTACAGCCGACATTTTATCGTATTTACAGGGTTGTATTAATCTGTTGTTCTATTCGATATATATTTTATATGTTCACGCACGATGTCCGACTTTATATAAACGAAAAAAATTGAGAGATGCTAAAACAGTATTGCTTTATTTGAATGCGCGCGGATAAATTATATTTGGGTTACGGAAGAGGGCAATTTTCTTATTATACAGTTGGCGAAACTGAAACGTAGTTTACCTAGATGGTAGGAGAAGGAACGCATGCGTACTCGTTTCGCGACGCAACAGTCGTAAACAACATTTTTTCCATTCAGATTTCTAACGAGTTTACGCTTGCACGATAATTAGAGCGTCCAGGCGGGCGCACCAGGATTTTTCCGCGTTTTCGTACGATTTCGCGGAAAAAATGGGGTCAAGCTTGCACGTTCAGTGTACGTGATACGTAAACTTATTGCTTTTTGGCATGCGGTGACGTCATCCGGATCGTTCTGGAAGAACCCTGCAGGACAATAATGGCGGGTATGTATTTACGTCGATGGACGAAATATTGATTGCTACCCGAACGAACTGTCATTGGCGATCTAATGTATTACGATTGTTCGGTTTCAGATTTGTATGCTAAATACAACTGCACCTATTGTCAAGAGGATATCTCGGGCCTACGTGTCAGATGTGTAGAATGCCCAGATTTCGACCTCTGTTTGCAGGTGAGCGAGTGAACGCTTGTTTCTCGATCACGTGTTCACGTCTCCTTTCTTCCCCGCCCCTTTCCTTCCCCCCGCCCTGTTCTCTCTGTCACATCTTCGTCTATCCTTCTGGCTTTACTGGATTTTGCGTGTTGAGATTCCTTTTTTTAGTCCCCACCCTTTTTTTGTGAAACAAGTTATACTGTAACTACCTTTCTACTTCGCGAATTGAATGAAACCGGTGATCACGTGGAGGCAAGTACATGCGTACATACTATATATATCAGTTCCGTTAACTCGATACGAAAACATCAACATTCCACAACAAACTTCAGAATTGTTCGAAAGAAAATAATATTTTTAAATTTTACAGTGTTTTTCCGCTGGAGCTGAAATTGGCCCACATAAAAATGATCACTCTTATCAGTTTATGGTAAATACTAATCATTTTAAAGCGTGAAATATAATTTTTTTGTATAATAACATTTAAAAGTTTAATAATTTTTTATCACTATAGGATTCTGGCACCATTAGTATATTTAATGGTAGAGGAAATTGGACTGCTAGGGAACAACTTAGACTCTTGGATGCCATTGAGCAATTTGGTTTTGGAAATTGGGAAGACATTAGCAAACATATTGAAACACGTTCACCAGAAGGTAAAGTGATTTTATATTGATATTATATTATATTGATTTTATATTATATTGATTTTATATTGATATTGAAATTATATTGAAATTTCTTATTCTCTATTATATGGTAATTTTATGACAATTTAAAAAAAAGAGGTGTGCTTGTATTTTAAGCTAATTAATAAATTAATTAAATACCAATCTTTTACTAGTAGTATCAGTACTTAATTTATTTTTGCCTTACAGAAGCAAAAGAAGAATATATTGCTAGATACCTTGATGGCAATATTGGAAAACACACATGGCCTCCTACAGAAAGCTATAAACCAAATCTTACAGATCAAACTAAGTCAGATCATGGACCTCTATCGCCTGATCTCACATCTCGGTTACCACCTTTGGATATCACTCCAGAAGAAGCTGCACAACTGGGATATATGCCACAACGAGATGATTTTGAAAGGGTATGTTTTAAATTATGTGACTCACCTTTGTATTACCTTTCGTATTACATTATACCTGTATTAAAATATTAAAATTTCCTTTACAGGACTACAACCATGAAGCAGAGTCACTTGTTTCTTCATTATTCTTGAACCCTGCAGAAGATGATGATTTGGACATAGCACTTAAACTTGCACAAGTTGATATGTATACCAATAATTTAAGAGAGAGAGCGCGACGAAAAAGAGTCGTACGGGATTACCAGCTTGTTTCTGCATTTTTTGCTTCGTCTAGGAAAGATAAGACAGTGAAAAGAAAACAATCGAAGGAGGAAAAGTATGTTTAATCATTATTTAACAACAGTAATGTTTTATTTTGCGCGATACTTTAATGGGAAATTTGTAATTTACAGGGAGTTTAGGGATAGGATGCGAGTATTTGCACAGTTTTACACAGCACAGGAATACGAACAGTTTCTAACAAATCTTGAAAGAGAAAGAGAACTACGATTACGTCTTTCAGAATTGTATCGTTACCGAGAGCATGGTATTACAAGACACGAAGAATGCGCTCATTTCGAGCAAGTGATGGCACAAACTCAGGGACAAAATGACGCAGTGGATCACTGGCATGAAAAAAAATCTGTAAGTATGTGTATCCACATATCTATTAACTTTTTCCACATTGCAATGGTGATTGAAATTTTTTTCGGATGGTATACCTTTTGTTTTATACTCTATTGTGTAATATTAGGTATATCTACTCGAATCTCAAAGTACATTTTATAAATATACACTCGTAAAAGCTAGTAGAATTCTTGAATTATTAAAAACATCTGTTTTCATCATTTATATTTATGCTTCTAATACGTTTTAAACATATTTTATAAAAATAAACATTGACGATCATTATTTCAATATTAAAGGATTCTTAGGTTTCTTCTCTATGTTTCTCCATGTTTTGTTGTTTAATATGTATATTGTTCATTCTATGATTACGTCAAATATATTATGAAAAAATTCACACGCGGTTAATACAAATGTATCAATCGAATATTACGACAGATACAAGAATATATTACTAATTATAAGAAATTTTAATAAAAGTATGTGTGTGAATACGAAATGCAGAGTTTTAATTATACCGTATACACTAGCTTTTGCTTCTTCTTTCACTAATTCCATTGTTTGTGGTGCGTGTTGCCAGGCATTTGTGAACAGATTGTATCAGTTTGCATTTCACTTAGGGCAGCAGTGGGCCGTCCACACCAATACACCGCCACACCTCAAAAAAAAGGTACAGGACTATTTTAAAACAGATTATTTCAACAACCTTAATTCATGAAGATGACAACACTACAATAACGATTAAATTCACTAAAACAGGTGATTTTAATCAAAGGTAAATTTGTCCCCTATTATACCTTGCAGAGAAGAAGAAAAAAATTACTCTTCCACCGACCGAAAGTACATTGCAAAAGACTTACCCAGCAGCAGCTTCTCAATCAATCAAACCAATCCCAATCGGATGACGACTCCAGCCAATCAGTGGGTGGAGCCGGATAACAATCCAAATTGTTCCAGCCAGCATTCTACCAGCTCCAGTTCTGCCACAGAAAAAAATTATACTGCGGCTGCTTCCGGAAAATCTTGTGCAACAACACGAGACTCAGAGGAACGGGATATAGAAATGGAAGCAGCGGCTCATTTATTAACAAAACAAGAAAAGTCTCTGTGTCTTCAACTTGATTTGAAGCCAACGCAGTATTTAACACAAAAGACGTTGTTGTTGCAAGTAAGTTTTTAGTTAGATAAATTATTTTTTATCAAAAATTAAACTCGTGGTAAAATAAGGCATATCGCGCTACTTAATTTATAGTAGTATTTGTATAGGAAACTGATACTTTAATAATGAAAAATAATTTAAAAATGAAAAATAATTTAGTTACATTTCGTTCTATTATTCATACTATTCATACATTTAATACTATCTTTTCATTCACATATTTGATTATTACCTCATAACTTTTGTTTTCAAAAGCTTTCTTTAGTAATAACACAATTTCGTTTGATATCAGAGATATTGTCGTAGTCGTAGATGGATTTTAGGCGAAAGTACTTTTCGTTAACTCTTCAAATATACACGTTATTTATACACATAAATTATATGATTGCAGGAATATCTAAATGGTAATAGAAGATCAGGTGTTGTACCTCAGTCGGAACCAGAGAGTAAGATATTACATTATCTGGTAGCAAATGGCTGGATCGCGGCCAACTGATTAAATATGTAAAAAATTAACGACCATTTCAACTCTAAGTCACCTTTTATTTTGCAAACTAAGTCCTAGGTATAATTGAAATTTGAGTCTGATTTAATTAACATATATAGGACAGGTAGAGAGAGAATGTGTGTGTACATAATTTAATATGTAAAGATATTCTTTACTCTTGTTCAAATGGTGGACGTTTAGAGAAATGTATTGGCGGATGAATTGTTAGGAACGATAGAAAACAAGATTAATTAACTTGTCTTATTCGTTAGTGAGACATTAATTTAGACTGTCTTTAAAATGACTCCATTAAAAAGTATAAAATTCTTTTATTAAGAGTTTTATAGTTTTTGTTAAATTAACAGTTATCGTATATAACGATTTAACTGTCAATTTTATTGTTGATATTCTTGATGGCTTTTTAAAGACTCAAATATTAAATCAACGCCGTTCCGCATGGTATACTTCCACTAACGTGTGTACTTTATTCTAATGAACATTGTTACCTTAGATTGTCGTTTACCTTTTAACATTACATTATGAATTATTTAACACTTCTTGTCTAGAAAATCTCTTACACTGCCTTTATAGAGCCATGAACATATTGCTCAATTAATTCTTCCACTGTCATGTTTTCTTGTACAGACTATTAATTGCACATGCTCCTTTCTATCTGTTTTAAATGTGATTTGTTACCATACTTGACAATAAGGAAATGTAAGGAAGAAGTCACGTCGTAGTTGAGATTTCTAGATCGTTGTTTAATACAACACTTGAATGATTGGAACATATCCATCCGGGAATTTATCATCGACCGATACTTTATGTACAAGTATTTAAAAGTTTTCGGCTGGATATGTATTAAAATATTTAAATAAAAAGCACTTTAAAATATTTATATAGCTGAGATTCATGAAAGTATTGAATATTATTAGCTTAATAATAAGTGTAATGTCCTTGACAAATTATACACACATAGATAAACATACACATACAGATATTTCTTCATATTCTTACAAATTTGTTCATTAAAAAAAATACTCTAATTGTCTTTCGCATGCATGATTCAAGCGCAAACTAATGCATTTTATTCCATAGATTCTTGAAACGATTCAAAGGATATTCCTTATTGATAAAGGATGGTACAAAGAGCAGGTTATAAGAGGATATTTGTTATTACAATGAAGATACTATGGTATTAGATAATTTATCTGTTGCCTGTGTAATATTTGTATATATGAACGAGAAATAGTACCTTCTTAGTGATACTACTTTTAAAGCACAAAACGTAATCGCGGTATAAACTAACGAAGAGTTAAGTGCATAGTGTGATAATGATGGTGTTCGGAGCCAAACTCGTATTACAAAAAAAGACACTTTAACGTTTAAAAAAAAAGCTAATCATTTTCCATTGCTTCTAATAGTAGCTATTTATAATTTTAAATTATTAAATGAAGAAAGGAGGAGTAAGATATTAAATTTGAGAATGAGAAGAAGATATACCCTGGATGGACGATATACCGTGTTAACAACAGCTTTTGTTGAGCTTAAACGTACAAGGTGGAAGCATCGAGGAACCACGCTATTTGCTCGATGGCAAAGTTCATACCATTTGTATTCCTGTATGCTTAGGAAACTGGAAAAGATCTATAACAAGATTAGTCGTTTGCTTTAACGTAATTCAGTACTTCCAAGAATATCTTCGTTTACCTAAGTCTCGAACGGCTTAAAATCGAGAGAAAGATTAAGATGAGAAAAGTTTATCTTGTATTATTATATATGCAAATGTAAAAAAATATGTGAAAAAGATATATATATATATACATATGTACATATACGAAAAAGAAAATTGCTTACGATCGTAAGTAATTATTAAAAAAAGTCATATATTTGAAGAGAAAAAAGAAATCTAAAAAAATACCTTTCATTTCGAAATAATACTTATTGTGGCATATTGCTTAAGAACTAAATAGCTAGATAACAAAGTAGGGAAATAGCTGCTCATATTTTTTACGGAGAGTAGAAGACTATTATCCCTTTTATTCGATGTAACTGTATTTTTCGCCCAAGCTTCCGCAAATGGGCGCGATAATTTTTTTACGCTCACCCTTATGATGTTTATTTTTCTTTTTTTTTTTTTTATTGCTTATTTCAGACCTGCACGGAAGTCGATTGATGTGCGAGTTCCGTTTATTATCGCGTAATTTTTACGATAGCGCTAGATCTATTCTTCTTTTTTTTTTTTTTATTTTGCTTAACATTGTTTCTATGTTCGTAGTAGATTTTATTTTTATTTATTGCTTCGCGGAACTTTCACATTCTTTTAAGACGCTTTTAATGCACCCTTTTGTAAATCAAATATTTTGAAAGCTTTATACTTTTACTTTTTTGTTTTTCTTCTTTTTTCCTCGGTTTACCTTAGTTTTTCTTCGTTGTTTTCTAATTGTTGATGGTAACTTGCACGGATCGACATGTCCGTCGTTTCACTCTAATATTTCTATGAGAAATGGTCCACTGTAAAAATAGAGACTGTTCAAACGAATGAACATAAAGTTATCTCGAACGAAGAGACCGCTACGCCTTCCTGTAGTTACTTAAAACATATAGTAATTTACGAAGTTGAAAAGAATAATCCGATAACGTGAAAACGTCGCGGCGATCTTTGTAACAAATACATAAGCGTACTGCGTCGTTCTAATTTTTATAAAATTTAGCGAACGAATTGAATATATATATATTTTTTTTTTTTGTTTTGTATCGAAAGACGATAACATATAGTGATTTGTTTTGTTCGAAGAGATGAGAATGATCGTCTACCGAAGAGTGAATGTATTGTCGTTGGATTGGAAGTGTTTCAAAATTGAATACCAGTTTTATTCTCATAAGTATTTGTATAACAAACAATGAGTTTGTTGCTCCTCATTGTTCTAGAAATAATGGAAGAATTAATATTTCAAAGCGAAAACAGGCTTTCATTCTTGTACTTGAATCAAACGAGTCGTTGAATGTATAAAATAAACTGTACAATAGGTATTTTCCCTTAAAATTATGTTTCTATTTACTATACCATTGCTCGATTGTCCCTTGAATTCCTTCCTATTTTTTCAGCTCGCGTATCACAATCTTTAAAGCAGACTTTTACGCCTCTAATAAACAACGCTATTTATCTTCTTCATCCTCAGCTGCATTGAAGTTTATTTTACTAATTTAAGTAGCATATATATATTTAGAATTACATTTGACATTTTTAAATTATCACTCTTATCTAGATTTGTTCATGAAAAACTTAATTCACCGTGTCAAAGCAGCAAATTTTCTTGCTTTTGAAATATTTTAATTTCCTTTCTACAACACATTTTTCCACGAGGTAATCGTGCTCTTCTGATTTTTGCTAAATATTGCGAGAAACACGTTTTTAATAAGTAAGCAGAAAAGTATTTTTTTCTTCGTTGAGACAAATATTTGCTCGGCGAATTAATTCTCGCACGTTCTTTCAATCTTAACATGGCTTCTTACGTCCTTCTACTCTTCTAAACAGCAGATTTATTTCGCATGTTCCAAAATTCGTCTTCTACAACCGGAAGATATTTAATATTTTAAGACTTTTCCTCCAGTACGCCTACCAAATGATATCGTATTACCAGTCATTGAAATCACCGATTAAATTTAGTGACTTTCCTCGTTAGTAGATAAATCACGAACTTTAGCATCTGTGAAAAGTCTTAAACCATATAAATTAGTAGAATGCGCATGATATGAAAAGATTTATAAAGTATCCGAGGTAAGGCGCTCGTTTCACTTAACTTGTTACCCTTAGTTTCAAATTTCCAGGAATTTAGTTTAAACAATCCCTTAAAATAAAATATAGCCAAATGAGGAAGTATTACATTCTTGTTCGCTAAGAAGTCAACGATTCATCGTTGAAAAGCGGTACTGTTATTAAAAGCTTAAAAATTGTCAAAAAATAATGAAGTACGCAAAACAATTAGGATATATGCAGTAAAGTACACAAATGGGATGCACTGGGGAAAATAATTGACTCGATTTATAAAAAGCAATATATTATATGGAGCATGACTTACATTTTGCTAAAGTTTCCAGCTTTTATAGCAAACGGTAATTTTTTATTTCACACGACGAGTATACGCGCCAACCGCACCAAAATGAAGTTCTGGATTGACGCGTGTACACGTCGAACGCAGTTAATTGGTTAAGTGACAGATCAAACAAGCTTTGACGTAACCATAACTGTACTTAAATATCGGCTGCTTTAGCAGGCATCTATTACCATAGATTACTATTTAATTTTTTATATTGTGTAATATATTGTATTTATATAAATAGCAATATTATGCTGTAACTTATTCCTACCTTGCTCCTTGCAATCATTAAATTATAATAATGCGATGCAACACGAGTTCTAATTTTGTTAATTTCTAAAGTCTTAACCAACTTTAAAAACTTTCCGAGACCTTGAGAACCAGATATACCCATTTATAGCTTCATTTATTAATTACCGTACTTTGATAGAGCAATTCTATCGCGCAACTTTATCAAGTCTAAGCTAAGATCCTCGACACGTTATATACGTCGACGATTATAATCGTCCCTGAAACGCATGTGCCTAGAATAAAGAATCGCTAATAATGCGTCACGTTAGAGAAGTCTACGATATTTCTTACATCGAGAGGCTCTGATGTCTTGGCCACTTCTTTTTTCTGATTTCCGCACGTCGTTCGCCGCCTTCTCCAATGTCGTGTAGTTTTCCAATTATGGTTTTTTCAGTCTTCTTATTGGCGTTATTGTTCCATAAACACAAACGCTGCGATTATATTACTCTCTTTGTTCGGACAAGTCTATGGTACTTCTTTTTCGGTGGCGTTTAAGGATATTCGCGGATTTCGTGTAACAGGATCTGTTCATCTTCGACGAATAATTCTCGAACGGTTCTGCGTGCTGTTATTACGTGTAAAATCAGACAGATGTTTTTCAGGATGTTTGGTGCAATTGATAATCGCAAAAAATATTTTGGAAGAAAAGAATGCATTCACGCCGAGAAACCGGAAGGTCGTTCGAATTACGTAAAATAAATAGAAAATTTAATTGTTCCGCATACTTGATTTAAACCAGTTGTTGGTATAAAAATGTAACGTTAAAGGATGTAGGCACGTATATAAATCTTCGCTTAACTGTCGAATTTTTACGTCTCGTCTTGTCTCCGTCTCAAAGAGCAAGAAGGTTTTTAACCTACGTATGGAAACGTTTAATGCGACATTAAAAGCAGAGATGACACGTGTAGATAACCTCTCTCTCGTCTTGCTCTGAAATTTGAGAAATCTCGTGGCGATAGAAGGACACGATTGAATCGATTTTTGGCGCGAATACGTTCGCAACGTATGCGAACGTATCCTTCCTCGCCCTGAATTCTTTATAAATTCAACACGAGTAATACGCTTCGTTCGTATTTGTTCATTCCGGAATTTTTCCCCTTGTGTTCTTCCACGATTTTGTCATTCTCGTCTAGTAACGAGTGATTTGCAATCGAGTAAAACGTTCTTCACCGATTCCGTGAAGCTTGGGAATAAATTATTCGTTCCCTCGTTCGATTTTTTAATATAAAGCGATATTCTGTTATTATCGGTTTCGACATCTCGTTTCTGAAACTGCTTAACTCATCAAGCACCAACCGTTAATGTTTCATCCATTAATTATGATATATATTACATGTAATATATTTCTGAAATCGATATTTATAATATACAAAGTATGTGTGTATTTATATATTTATATATTAATCGGATATTTATATATTTATTATATTTATCAATTTTTATAGTTTCACGTGTCATATTTTATACATCATAAATATCAATTTCGTTGTATCTGATGTAAAGATATATATGTCATAAAATAGTAAAGTCTGGTTGGAAGAAACAAGGTGAATAAAATGTTGAATCTTTGGCATTCTCTTTTGTAGCCACGTTGTTCGAAAATAGAATTCGATAACACAAGTTGATTGAGACAGATAGCAAATGGTTCGATGAACGTTCCACTGACTTAGACGCATAAATAACACTTGAATGCGATTCAGACAGGATAACACGCGATAAAATCGTCGAATCGGAACAGACAAGATCACTAGGATTGTTTCTATGTAGTTTGCAACAGCCATTTTGTTCGGAAACAGGTGATAAAGAAAAAAACCATGTAGGAATAAAAAGTGAATTGCTTACACGGTTTAATAACCTCCCTTTTTCTTTAATAAAACCTGCTCTTCTACTGCGTCGTGTAATTCATACACGTCAAACATAATTTATGGCAACATTGTTCCTTCTTTCCCCGAAGGTATAGATGTTTCGATCGTCTTTCGTTTCTCAATTGTGATATTCCTTTGCCGGTAATATCGTTACGCGATTCTTGCTTTCTCAACATCATCGGAAAAATGTTTGGATCGTCGTAGAAAAGCGGAGAGATACGACACACGGTTCCGTACGAACGCGTGCAATAAAAATAAAATAAAAAATAAAACTGGTTCCAAATTTCCAAAAATTCGATTACAGAATATTTTCTGTTCCTCACGTCATTTCTTGTGTCAAGTACGCGTCCTTATGGATATTGTATAACAGCGGAGATTAGATAAAATTTCTAATTCCTAAATTTGATAAAATCGGATTTAGATTATAGTGCAATTTACGTTAAAGACTATTGCAACAGAGTTACAAAGTCTGAAGACAAAGTTCGAGTATTATGTGCTTTCGTTTCTTAAATCGAAACGTCTTTGTTAAAAAAATTATGAATTAATTTTATGAATTTTAGAATAACAAGCATAAACAAAAGATTTATCTAGTTTTTATTAATAATTTATTAATAATTTAAAATGTTGTTCAGCCGTCGAAATATGCTCTTCGATTTCAAGCATACGATATATCACGTGTCAAAGGAGTAAGAGAACATTTAATGGAAATGATATCATAAACAAACTGCTCTTTCTTCTCTGAACGTTTATATTTTCCATTTCATATTATATAAACTCGTTTCACGAATAACATTGAATTAAGTAGCAGTGAGACTGATGATTTTTGGAATATACTTTGGAATATACTTTTTGGAATATACTTTGCTCGCCATCTGTCGAGAAGGCAAGAAATAAATCTCGCGATCTTGCAATAAATAATTATATTTTTCATATTTTCAGATTTTCTGACGCTTTTTTCATTCCTACGAACTCGTCATTTACTATTCGCAATTGTACAGTTGTACAGTTAATCAAAAAATTAATTTTTAGAATGGTCTTAACGGAAATATTCGAGAATATTGATCAATATTTCCATAACCTTTCTCCTCTTTTTCTTTTTCTCTTTTTTTTTTACAGTTATGATGACTTGATTGATTAATAATTCAATTCAATGTATTTCAACGATTCCAAATTCAACGTTAAAGACAGAAAAGCCAAAGGGCAACATATTTATAGTGCATTTAATTATTAGGTATGTGAAACAGCGATTCGAAAAATATCGTTCTATCGTCAAATACAATCTAATGAATAACATATAATCTAAGAAACACAGTTTTTTTGCACATATTTTTTACGTTAATTCTTGGCTTGTTATAGGTTGCTGCTCGAGGCGGAGAATGAATAAAATTATTGATCAAGTTACAACACATTCGTTCAGTATATCTAATTAAGCGCGGCTGGACGATCGATCTTCCTGTAACAGATAACGATAATATGTCACCGTTTACTAATTCGATAATATTGTAATACAATCAGAGAAAAAATAGTGTATAATATCATCTTCTCGTTTTAACTACGAGGCGAAAGTCTTAAAAAACACGAATGCAAAACTTTGCAAGTTATTCGATATCGTTGAAAAATATCGAGGCAACGATACAATTA